TTACATAATTTGTGGTGAACTGGTGATTTATTGGAGCAGCTATGATTTTAATGTATTTCATATGGTTTAATCTTAAAATAATTGTTATTGTATTTGTGTAACAATTATGATAGATTGATATTCATACTTTCTTATGTTTTATTGTAATTGTTGTTTTGGTTGTTTTAGGTTTTAGTGTTATTGATTTATTGTGTTGTTAAATTGGTACATGTTATTTAATTGAATTGTTAAAATGATCAAAAAATTAATAGCTACAAAAGTGTTTACCCAACTTCTTACCCGATTAATCAGGTAGGAAGTCGGGTAGAAATACCACACTTGATCGGGTAGGATAGACCAAGAAAAAATTATTCCGCAAAGTATCGGGTAGAAAGACGGAAGATTATATTTTCTACCCGTAGAGTAGGGTAAACACCCCTACCAATGAAGGCTGACCTGATGGGCTGTAGTCTCTCCCTGCCCAAGTTGAGCTTGTAATAAGTTTCTGTGAATAGGATATCCACAGAGCTGCCATTGTCCACTAGGATCCTTCGTTCTTGGAAATTGGCAACGGTCATGGTGAGCACTAGAGGATCGTCATGGGGGTGTTGGATTCTTTCTAAGTCCTTATCTGAGAAGGATATGACTTCGTTGATGCCATGCCTGGGGGCCTTGGATGGGCGCAATTCGTCAGGGTGCCACGCCTTTTTGGCGTAGGCCTTCACGATAGAGAGTGATTCTCCACCTCCTGCTAGTCCTCCCAAGATAATGTGAATTTTTCCAATGGGTTGTTAATCTTCCTGGTTATGAGGCGGTGGTGGGGTCTATCCTCTACCAGCAACATACTGGCGTAGATGACCACGTTGAATAAGGTCTTCAATTTATCCTTTGAGGTTATAGCAGTCGTCGGTGTCATGGCCATGATCGCGATGAAAATGGCAGTACTTGTTCAGGTTCCTGCGGTTTGGAGGAGACTTCATCCTCCCAAGCCACTTTATTACGAGGTTATCCTGGATCTGGAACAAGATGTGCCTGATAGCGACATTAAGGGGACTGAAGGCTTGTCGGTCTCTCTGAGGAGCAGGACCGAGGTGGTCCTTGACGAGTACCCTCTTTATCCTCTTGCGCTTGTTGCTAGTCTCCTTTTTGTCATCTCTATCTCTTTCCTTTCTGTTCTCCCCTATTCTGGATGACTCACCTTGTCTAGCCCTCGAGATGTCCTCAGCATTCATTTACTTTTGGCCCTTTGCTAGTTGCTCTGGCATACTCTTTGGTGGACGCTTCATCATTGAGAAGAGGAAGCTTGACGAGCAGAGGCCTCCTAAGAAGGTGATCATAGTAACTTTGTCATCGGGCTCCTTAACTTATAGGACCTCTTCGTTAAAACCAGTGAGGTATCTCCTTAGGCTTTCCTTACGGTCCTACTTTCTGCTGAGCAGGTGGGTGACAAGCTTCTGGTGGCGGCGCCCTCCAATAAAGTGCAACACAAAGGACCTGCTCAGCTCAGCAAAGGAGGCAATGGAAGATAGGGAGAGCTTGGCGAATCATTATCGGGCAGATCCCTTCAAGGTGGTTGGGAACGCCCTGCACATGATCTCGTCGAGAACATTGTGCAGCTGCATTAGAGTTTTGTAAGTTTCGAGGTGGTCTAGTGGATCCTTTGTTTCGTCAAATGTCTCCACAGATGGCGTTTTAAACTTTTGAGCGATGGGGTAGTTCGCCACGTCGGGTTTGAAAGGCGTGTCAGTTCACTTAACGAGGTAGTCCACGATCTCAAGTCCTTACGCCTTCATGGCTTTGAAGACATCACCCAATTGATTTTGCACCTCTTTTATTTTTTTGTCCCATTGGTTCGGAACTCCTTGAGAATTATCATGAAAATGACTCTTATGCTCTATGCTTTGGTTTTCACCCTCATCCTCTTGGAAATAAGAGTCTCCCCGATGGGGAACAGTAGCTGGAGAAGGAGGTGGAGGATCCTCATAGTGAGCCCCCTTGTGTGGGGCTTCCAAGGGGGCGCCCAGATGGGGAACTCCTTAACGCCTAGGGCGTGGAGCTCCTATGCCTTGAGGTGTTCCTCCTTGTCCGACGAGCATGAGTTGCAAGATCTACTGGTTTTGGGCCACAAGCTGCTGGATAGTCACCAACATCTGTTGTGTATTTGGGACAGGATTGGTTGGTGGATGAGGAACCTTCTCTTCTTGTGGTGGATTATCCTCAGGTTGATTTATCGATCTGGTGGTTATCGCCATAGGTTCAACAGAGGGAGTGTTTAGAAGCAAGAATTTAATTGTTCTCACAGACGGCACCAAATTGATGATGCACAAATTAACTTTGCACACCACCTGTCAAGTGAACAGTAATAAACGCAATATTAAAGTAGGGAGATGGAAAGACACAAGTGAGTTATAATGGTTCGGTCAATGTGATCTACATCTACTTTGAATGACCTACATTCACCCTCATCCTCTTGAAAATGAGGGTCTCCACCATGGGGAATAGCATCTGGAGAAGGAGGTGGAGGTCCCTCATGGTGGCCCCCCCTGTGTGGGGCTTCCAAGGGGGTGCCTAGATGGGGAGCTCCTTGATACCCAGGGCGTGGAGCTCCTATGCCTTGAGGTGTTCCCCCTTGTCCGGTGAACGTGAGTTGCAGGATCTGTTGGTTTTGCGCCACAAGCTGCTAGATAGTCTCCAACATTTGATGTGTATTTGGGACAGTATTGGTTGGTGAAGGAGGAACCTTCTATTCTCGTGATGGATTATCCTCAGGTTGATTTATCTATCTAATGGTGATCGTCATAGGTTCAACAAAGTGAGTGTTTAGAAGCGAGAATTTAATCGTTCCCACAGACGACACTAAACTGATGATGCACAAATTAGTTTTGCACACCACCTGTCAAGTGAATAGTAATAAATGCAATATTAAAGTAGGGAAATGGAGAGACACAAGAGATTTATAATGGTTCGGTCAACGTAACCTACGTCCACTTTGAATGGCTAAGGTCGCCGAGTATTTTTATTACTTCAGGTGTGTAGGAAAAGCAGAGAGTTACAAGCTTAGAGAATGAGAGGAGAGAATTGTGCTCAATAGAGTCTGATGTCCCCCAAGTGTTGGCAGGACTTACAATTTATAGTCGCTCCCTAACAGATTGTGACGACTTAATAGCAACTAAATAACTATCTTGGTGGAGCTGACGACTTCTTCTCAACGGGTGAGGCGTTTTAGATGCTCTCCATGAGACTCGGTCAAAAGATGAGGTGAGGGTTGACTATTTTCAAGGCGATAAGGATAAGAGTCCTGGATGCTCTCTTTGTAGCCAAGCTGATGAGTTTGACTGGACTTGGATCGCGTTGGGCTTGATGGGTCCTTAAAAGCTTGGGCTCTAAGTTAAGATTGGACTTTCCACATGTATTGGGTCATTTGGGGTTGACCCATCAGTTAATATTCAATGTAATCCAGTGCTTGGTAAGACACTGAGTAAGGGTGAGAAAATATAGTACAAATTATATATTGATCAAAAAATTTCAATTTTGTCTAGTTATTAATATTTTTGTTTATTTGGTGGGCAAATTGATAAATTTATAACTTAATATATTTGAACTAGACTACAATACCACTCCTTAAGTTGTGGTATTATAATCGACTCAATAGTACGAATATAATGTATTATTTAAATAAGTATTTGAAATAAGACTACATATAATACGGAATATTTTTTGCAACCAAATGCAATATAAGGTTGGATTAAAGAGTTTTAATTTGTTATGATCTTTTAATACATCCCTTGATACTGAAACCAAACGACCCTTAAAAATTTATCATGGATAAAATTTTATTATTTTGTGAAATGATTGCAAATTATCCAAAATAAAATCAATAATTGGGATAAATTTCGATATGGTACTAAGTCAGTATGATAATCTTATCCATTCCTAGTCGGAATTGTATACAATTATCAGAATTTGGAACAAGCACATTTGTGGCCTTTGAATTTAAGAAAATGCAATCTGACTCAATACGCAACAGATGAAAATTACATTCATTATGTGGTTTCTAGACATGTTCAGTGAAGAATTCGTAGACTCTTGAATACTTTTTTATTCAGACCTATATAATTAAGGTAGTGGCGTAAGTCATGGCATGCCTAACATGTTTTAAACTTTAAAGTAGACAATAGAGGGACAGAACTAATCCACTATAGTATCAGATTATAATATCAATTGTTTCAATGTCATGTCATTCATCCTGTATTGGATGGTAGGAAAATCCTATCGAGTGCGGTAGATCTATTTAGATTCATGGTGGGTAAAGAATTTACTGAATATAGTGTTAGAGTGGATTTGGATCCAAAATTACGGGTGTACATCGATTGCCATTTATGGGTTTCGTATATCTTGAGACCATCCATGAAGGATTCCATTGAAAGTGTAAGCCATTACTTGATTTTCCACTCGATGTTGGATTGAGCATTCATCTTACTTACCAAAAAAAAAAGTGAAAGAGCATATTGAGGTTCATGTACAAGAGAGATTTCAAAGATCTTCTGAATATATACCAGTGTCCCATAGATACCAGTTGCACAATTGACATGTTCCAGCGTCACGAAACATAATGACTATCAGTTGTTTCACATGTCTACTAACTTATTTTGTTCATATAGTATCTACTTGAATCAGAGTTGTGACAATAAAATAATGCCCATGTTCCAGTGCCGTTGATTTTTTATTTTATGTTTTTTTCTTGGTCGGATTATTTAATCTTTTTTACGACAATAAAACTTATTTTATGTTCTTTTCTTGGTCGAATTATTTAATTTTTTTATGGTAAGAAACTTTCTTACACACATGGTAACTCAGATACACGTAATCACAACTAACCAAGAGATACCAATAACAGTCAAACATAAGACAACAGAGTTACGGTTCCTCCACACTAACCGGCCTCTTTTCACTAAGATATCTACGGGGACTTAAAAATATCCACCTTAAAGTGGTTGAATATGTACACTTACAATTGAGCAATGGCTTCCTCTCAGACAGTCGTGAATGACAAGAGTTTACTGAGTGTTCAAGAGCTTGCCAAAGAGCCCATGTTTGCCATCCCACAGCGCTATGTTCAGGTACATCAAGAACCAACTGTTCACTCAGATGCCTTTTCCTTGCCCATTGTTGACATGAAAAACTTGAGTATAGGAGGGGCCAAGGATTTAGAACTTGAAAATTTGCACTCAATCTGCAAAACCTTGGGCATCTTTCAGGTTTTTCCTCCTTTATCTCAAAATTGGCATTGACAACTTCATGTGATTGCCTTTATGACTCAAATCTTTATCATCCGTTTAACTTTGTAGTTTTGGAACAGTATTTTGACTTCATGGCTGAACAAGGGCTGAGACATAAACTTGCAAGTTTCGAGCTTGAATCTTTTCTTTTTTTGGACACAACAGCAATACGGGGGAGGGGAGTTCGAACTGAGGACCTCCATGTCACAAGTGAGGCTACTCACCAGTTGGTATAGAACTCGAGTCTTGAGCTTGAGTTTCACTAGCTGCATAAAACCCATACGTACTCGATGCACGTGGATTATAGATAACTGAGTGAATTTGAGATTTACGCTGCAATCATGAGTTTCAAAGATATATCAGATATATAGAGAAAAAAAAGTGTGGTGCAATAGAAAAGAGTCTTTTTTGGTAAGATACACAATAGAAATATGGTAGAAATATCATAAACACTAATTGTTCTGAATTATCTACAGGTGGTGAACCATGGAGTTAGCTCTTTGCGGGTTGAAAAGCTAAAACATGAGATTGAAGAATTTTACAAGCTTCCTGTGAAAGAGAAATACAAGGTGAAGCCTGGTGATGTTGAAGGGTATGGCCATACCATGATCCGGTCTGAAGATGAAAAGGCTCACTGGGGAGTTAGGCTTTACATGATAACCAACCCAATACATAGAAGGAAACCACACTTATTGCCTGAGCTCCCTGTATCACTAAGGTTTTCTCTCTCTCTGACAATATATATATATATATAGGCACTAGCATCATATATACCTTTCTAAGCATCCATAAAGGTATCTAACAGTCAAAATGAGCTGAACAATGTTTGTTAAAGCTGTCTCATTAACTTATTGTCTAGGTCGATTCAACTCATTTGACTAAACATACTAATCTTAGACTTGTCTTCAAATATAAACTCAAGCTCAAACTCGTATTCAATATCAAGTTTGATTCGTTTATCATCTTAATCTCTGATTCGCTGCAGGGATACTCTGGAGTTTTATTTCTCAGAGCTGCAAAAAAATGCAATGACTCTCCTTGGGTTAATGGTAGATGCACTAAAGATTGATAATGGAGAGATAAAAGAGATGTTTATGGATGGGATGCAATCGGTGAGGATGAATTACTATCCTCCTTGCCCACAACCAGAGCAAGTCATGGGCTTCACTCCTCACTCAGATGTTACTGGAATTACCATCCTTCTAGAAATAAATGGAGTGGCAGGCTTCCAAGTTAAAAAGGATGGAAAAAAAATATCTTCTAGAAATACTTTTTTCTAGTTTTTTCTTTCCTGTTTGATGATGGAAAAAAAATCTATTGCATTGAAGTTGAGAGTGTTGAACAATCTAAAGAAATACAAGAGATAAGAAAAGAGGAGGCTAGGGTTTTATTGATACTGCATAATTCAATGAATACAAGGAAACAATTTAACCTAAATACAAAGAGACTATATATAAGTTAAAGAAGACAGGGAAAGTAAAGGACTATTCTACCCTTAATAAATAAAATAACCCTATATTTCTTAACATCTCCCCTCAAACTCACGATGCAGCAGCGACAAGCATCGAGAGTTTGCCAACTAGAAAACGAAAACGGGAAATAGAATGTGACTTGATAAAGAAATCTGCAATCTGCAAAGAATAAGAAACAAAGGGCAAAATAATGATGTCATGCTTGAGATGATGACGAGTAAGGTGACAATCGATCTCAATGTGCTTAGTTTGTTCATGAAAAATCGAGTTGTGAGCAATCTGAATAGAACTCCGGTTGTCACAATACATAGGAGTGGGATTAGAAAGAGAAACTCCCATATCTACAAGTAACCAACGTAACCAAACAATCTCTTTGGTAGTAGATGTCATAGCACGATATTCTGCTTCGGTTGAAGATTGAGAAACAATAGATTGTTTCTTGCTCTTCCAAGAAATAAGAGAATCACCCTAAAAGATACAAAAATCAGTAACAGATTTGCGATCTGTGGGATCACTGTCATGATCAGCATCAGAGTATGCACACAGCTCCAAGGAAGAGGTGGATGGAAGTAAAAAACTCTGAAAGACTGTACCCCGAAGATACCTCAAAATACGAAGAATCGTTGTCCAATGAACTGTAGTAGGAGAAGCAACAAACTAACTAACAACATAAACAACATAGGCAATATCTGAACGAGTAATAGTGAGATATACCAAGCTCCCAACAATAGTACGTATAAAGTAGGATCTGACAAAGGTAAACCATCAGAAAAAGAATACTTTGCGTTAACCTCAATGGGAGTATCTACAGTCTTATTATCAGTAAGTCTAGCTCGCTCAAGAATATCTGTAACATATTTTGACTGAGAAAGAAGATAACCTATGGGTGAGCAGGCTACCTCAATACCCAAGAAATATCGTAGAGAACTCAAATCCTTCATTTCAAACTGTCTAACTAACTATGTCTTCAAAACTGAAATATCATTAATATCATCACCAGTAATAATTTTGTCATCAATATATAAAGATAGAATGATACGACCTGTATCAGTGCACTTAACAAAAAGAGCAGAATCATGACTACTAGAAGTAAATCATGACTACTAGAAGTAAATCCGAGGGAAGAGATCACAACAAAAAATTTCTCAAACCAAGCACGAGGTGCTTGTTTGAGACCATATAACGCTTTCTTGAGTTTACAAACATACCCAGAATCATGTGAAACACCAGGAGGGGGAGTCATATAAACTTCTTCTTGAAGATCCCCATTCAAGAAGACTTTTTTAACATCAAGTTGAGAGATATGCCACTGACGAACCGAAGCAACTGCAATAAGAGTACGAATAGTAGTCATTTTTACAACAGGAGCAAATGTCTCCTCATAATTCATACCATACTGTTGAGAGTACCCTTTTGCAACTAACCTAACTTTGTATCGCTCAACAGATCCATCAGAATTGGTCTTAATCTTATACACCCAACGACAACCAACAACACTCTTACCAGGAGATAGAGGAACCAGATCTCAAGTACCTGTTTTATACAAAGCAGAAAGTTCTTCATCTATAGCTTGCTGCCAAAGAGGGTCAAGAATTGCCTTTTTATAGGAAGAAGGCTCAGAGAGACAATGAATAGAAGCTAAAAAGGAAGTAAAAGATGAAGAATAACAAGAATAAGTAAAATTTAGTAACTTTGTGGACTTACGAATGCGTGTGGATTGACGTAGAGGTGGATCCACAATCTCAAATGGAGCTTGAGGGACCATAGGAGAGGAGGTAGCTTCAGGTGTGCTAGAGAGTAAAGTGTCAATACTTGTAGAATGATCAGTGCTGATATTTAAAGTACTAGAAACCTGAGATGACAAACTATCAGAATCCTCAGAAAAAGGATCTATTCGAATAAGATCAGATCTAGTCAAGCTATAAGTAGTGGATAAAATAGAAAAGAAAGGTATATGCTTAAGAAAAACAACATGACGAGACATAAAATTTTTGAGTTATTGGATCAAAATAACGATATCCCTTTTTACCTGCACCATAACCAAGAAAGACACAAATAACAGATCAAGAGGACAGCTTGTTGCACTCAACATGAGGACGAAGAACGAAACAAGTACAACCAAAAACTCTAAATGAAGAATAATCAGGGGTATACCCATACAACTTTTCAAAAGGAGAAACACCTGAAATATGAAAAGATAGAATTGTATTAATCAAACCTACAGCAGTAAGAATAGCTTCACCCCAAAACTTACTAGGAACAGAAGAAGACAACAAAAGAGAACAAGCAATTTCAACAATATGCCTATGTTTTCTTTCAGCAACACCATTTTGCTAAGGAGTATCTGTACACGAAGTTTGGTAAATAGTTTCATCTAAGGCAAGCAACTCATCAAATTTATTAGAAGTGTATTCCCTACCCAAATCACACCTAAAACATTTGATAACAGCAGAATGTTGAGTTTTGACAAAAACTAGAAAGGTTGTATATATCTCAAAAAATTCAGAACGATGTTTCATTAAATAAATTCAACAATAACAAGTATAATCATCAATAAAAGAAACATAATGTCGAGACCCTCCTTTTGTGGCAACAAGAGAAGATCCCCATACATCAGAATGAATCAAATCAAATGGAGAAGAAGAAACATAAATACTTCGATTAAAAGGTAAAGCTGAAAATTTTGCCAGTTTACATCCACTACAATCAGAAATATCATAAGTTTGCAAATTTCCTAAAGCCCCTGTGGATACCAAAAATCTCAAACGAGAAGACGAAACATGACCTAAACGAGAATGTCATAAATAAAAACTAGAAGAATAAGGACTCAAACAAAAAGAAGACAAATCAACACTAGTAGCAGCAATTAGCACTTTTAACTCATCCAAAATATATAGTCCTCCCTTCCTACGACATGTCCCAATCAGCTTCTGAAACTACAAATCCTGCACATAACATGAAGAAGAGGAAAATGTGACTAAATTTCCAGAATCACATAACTGACCAACAGAAGTAAGATTTAATGCGAGTTTTGGAATATGATAAACATTAGGGTGAGACAAGTGAGGTGTGACAATAGAACCAACACCTGCTAAAGGCATAGGAGTGTCATCAGCAATCATAACAGGAATAGAAGATAAAGGAGATACAGAAGCAAAAGATGAAGAATCTGGTGACATATGATGTGAAGCACCAGAATCCAAGATCCATACAGAATGTGACATACCTAGAGAACTATGAGGCAACTGACCTCCTGAAGAAGAAGCAGACATAGCTTGTGGCTGTAAGGAGAGACACTTCTGAAATTGCTCAGCCAAGGTACTAGAATCAATGAAAGAACCTGATGAAACTACTGCTGCAGTATTAGACTGTGGTAGTTTATAACCCTAAGGTGGTCTAGGAGCATTAGATTGTGACTGGTTCCCAGACTTCCAAGCTTGAGATTGCTGTTGCGATTGATTCTGCTATTTTAACTTAGGACATTGAGCCTTCCAATAACCTTTCTGCTTACAGAAATTGCACTCGTCGAAGGTAGACATTGTGTAAGGCTTATTCTGATTATGAGAGAATGATTTAGAAAGTACTGCTAGCACAGAAGGATCAGAAGTAGAAAGAATTCCCTTATCAGAATAAGACTTAAGATGTATCTCTTCAGCTAATAACTCACCGACAACTAAGTCAACAGAAGGAAGAGGAGAATGATACAAAATTGAACCTCTAAGTCCTTCAAAATCACTATGAAGTGCCATTAAAAACAGTACTAACCGTTGTTGCTCTCTACGAGCAATATAGGCACCACATGCCTTTAATTTAGCTGATTCTGTAAGAGCCAATTGATCTCAAAGATCTGTCATAGCAGAATAAAACTCCTGAATACTCATATTCTTCTTCTGAAGAGCTCGTATGTCATGTTCCAATTGATACTACTTTGCAAAATTTGATTGAGTGAATAACCTTTACAGATGATCCTAAACCTCCTTTACTGTCTCACATTTTGCCAACTGCGTACCTATAGAATGTTCAACAGAATTGTTGATCCAAGTAATAATTTTTGTATTGTCTACTTCTCAGACATCTATCAAATCAACATAACTCACATCAGTATTCTTAGGTTTCACAGAAGTTCCACTAACATATCCCCATAGCTTTTTACCTTTAAGAAAATTTTTCATCACATAACTCCAATACGAATAATTCTTTCCATCCAACCGCACACTCACAGGCGGAAGCGAATCATTTCTTGCAGTAGCCATAATCAACAAACAAAGAAAACTAGATTGCAAAAACAGAATAAATACCAGATTGTAAAAACGAAACAAATAGCAAATTGCAAAAACGGAACAAATACCAGATTGCTTAAACGGAACAAATACCTTCTCAAAAAAAAAAAATACCTTCTCAAAAAACCCCCAACCAACTCACCGCAGAGTTGGATTCGCGTAAAGTGTGTTTGAGATTAAATCTTGTCCCATAAAACTTTGCTCTGATACCATGTTGAACAATCTAAAGAAAAACAAGAGATAAAAAAAAGATGAGGTTAGGATTTTATTGATACTGCATAATTCAATTGAATGCAAGGAAACAATTTAACCTAAATATAAAGAGATTATATATAAGCTAAATAAAGTAGAAAAAATAAAAAATTATTCTATCCTTAATAAGTAAAATAACTCTATATTTCTTAATAAAGAGGTGAGGAATAAAAGTCTACCACGTTCAGTCAAGTTGAGTCGAGTACGTATGAGACAAGGAACATTGAATTTACAGGGTGTGACAATTGACACAAATATCTCTTACCAGAGACTTAA